TCCAGTTATGAGGGTTTGGAATTCGGGGGGGGGGGGGGGGGGGGGGGGGTGCTTCAATTCTATATTCTTTAATTGTGTAAACCATTTTTCTTTATTCATTATAAATGTTGCCTGTTATTCTCTATTCTTTATATTTTAACACAATATTTTTGCCCTTTAGTCTGCACATTATTCTATATTTTGAAAACCCCATTCATACACTCAGCTATTGTTAAATTGGAGCATGATGGGATTATTCGTAAAGTTGGTATTTTTTATCATTTAAGTGTGTCGTTTATGTCATCATTGGTATCAATTACTCCTCTCTTTCAACTTTTTTATTATAGCGTCACGGATGAGTCTTGTGTAGAAGAAACGCGCGTCTGACGTACACATTTTTAATCCTGGTATCTATGATGAGTTTAGTATTAACATGGTTCTTCATGAAATAAACAAAACATTGCAACCTTAAATCAATAACACGTTGGCCTGGTTTAATCTACATACAAAACCATACGACCATAACTCAAAAATTATTGAGGCTCTACATATAAATCTTTATTTATCTATGATTGAAGATGTACAAATAACACATTTATACCAGTATAGTCGTTTGATTTGTAATTTGTACCGATTGAGTCCCTTTCCCGATTGTGACATTTTGACTGAGTGTGAATTCTCATGGCGGGCATGCATGCGTAGTAGGAGATGCTTACCATGTGGACGCACCCAGTCTCGTTCCTGTTTGGGTTCATGTGATGTCCCGTGTTTTTGTGTGTTACCTTGATTTACCTCTTCCTAATCGAGTTAAAAGATTTTAACAATCGGTAAACTACTGTCGCCTTAATTTATTAAAAGTAAAAAGACGTAAGAACCGTATCACATTCATGTGTTAACGTGCTGTTCCATTGACAAAAATAATACTGTGGATTCAACATTATTCATGGGATACCAATTGTCGTGGATTTTGCTGTACAGGTGAGCCATGAACTTAAATGTTCAATTAAGTACAAATTTTCAATAGGCTTGGAAACAGACCTATGTAAACCAACTAAACTAAATATCCACGAAAATACACTTTCCTCTTACTCCACGAAAATTAGTGCCCACGAAAATGAATGAATCCACAGTATCAAATAAAATCATGTAAATACTAGATAGAAATATAAACATGTAAAGCTGCAGATTTGTTTGGGTCTTATATATTTCAATGTGCTAGAAATGATACCAAAAGAACTGTCACCAGAGATAAGGCTAGACGCATGGAATGTATTTGACTTCTTTGAATAAAAACACACTATACAATGTATTTGCTGATTCATACATTTATAAAATTCCATTTATATATTAAGTGACACTAGATATTACATCAACACTTAAAAATAAATGGTGGCTTAAAGTATATAATTTATTAGAAATCAAACAGTTGATTTACTTATTTCTGCTGAAGAACATATTTAATCATCCTTTGCAACGCTTCAAGATAACATACTCCAAGTATTGAAGAGAACGAGTTAAAGTATTTGATGGGAATTTTTCCGCAACTATTAAATTTAAATCACATCTGTTAACAATATAAACAAGATGATGATAACAAAGACATTTGAGACAGTGACTCATAGCAATATATAGGCTGTTTAGAAATATCATCTCTTTCAATTGCAACTGTACTTCTCGTGGTATATTAGTAATGAGTGTTTCTTGTAACTTAGACTATTTACAGTGGCTTATATGACCTTGTCATTCAATGTCACTGCGTAATGTATACTTTTTCTGTTACTATTTATATCTTCTTTGTCACAGTTAATTCATCTATGATACCATATCACTCGTAAACCTTTTATAAATTTCGAAATTATAAAGAAACTAAGGTTTCAAATCCCTCAGGCAAAGTTGACCATAGATGGACTTGGCTGTTTGTAGGTCCTTTAAGTTATATAGCTCTTCAATTGTTTCATATCTTATACATCCTTGGCTTTCAAATATTCGTCTTTGATTGTTCCTGATGAAGGTAAATCCAGAAAAGCGCTTCGGTCGCATGAAATTTATAACGTGTTATTTTAATGTTTTTTAAGAACATGATCCTGCAGTCTGAGCGTAACATTTTACGGTCATGCTATATAAGAAAACTACGCAAAAACAACTTATTCGACACATGTCTAAAAGAAATAGGTAAACAGAACAAGGAACAAAAATAGTACAAAATAACTACACTGATTTCTCAAGATTGCGAAATATAATCAAGCCTAACACAAGGTTTGTCCAAAACAAATCAGCAGTTCCTATTCACTAAAAAACATCCTTCGTTTTACTCCAGATAAAATGCCTTTATCATTCATACGATAATGTATTATATAAAAGCCGATTTGCTAGTGTCTCACGTGTAGCCTCACAACATAATGAAATTAAAAAAAACACCAGTATTATTAAATTCTCAAAAGCTCAAGCGATGATGAAGATTGAATGTAAACACGGTTTATTGAATGCAAAATAAAATAATAAACACAATAAATTAAAAACTAGAGCAAACGCAACGCAGTTTACTTTCGGAACAAAACTAGAAGTTAACTCGGGTGGTTCTGGAAGATAAGCAGTTCCTACTTTTTGAATATTAGCAGTGATGTTACCCAAAGAATTTTAAAGGTTTGGTTGGTGTGTCACTACAGCAAACTGGATTGTGGAATCTATCCGTATTCATCTGTGACAAATATATTCCATAATGTTCAACAAAATCATGATGGCGCCCGTAAATCTTTCGAATGAATGAGTTAAACTTTACCAATTTAAAATCTCAGCCAATTTCTTCTTTGCAAACACTACCTCTCTATCAATGAAATTTTGATAGGAAATACTAGACCTGGAATTTCATCATAACTAGTGACATGTTCTCCATATTCGGGGACTGCTTGAATATTACACTGGTTTTACAGGGGTTCGTGTAGCTCAGTCTTTGGTTTCTATGTTGTGTTTTGTATACTGTTGTTTGTCTTTTGACCCTTTTTATTTCGTTTTTTGCCATGTCATTGTCAGTATTTGTTTTTTTCTACTTATGAACTTATGAGTTTGAATGTCCCTTTGGTATCTTTCGCCTCTCTTTTGCTACCGAGAACTGGAAAAATCTAATCATCTTTTTTTAATTTGTCACAAAGTTATATTCTCATGCATCCCTCATGTCAATTTCCAGATGTTAGTCAAGACATTAAGCAGACGTGGATGCGATCAACATAGTTATAGTACTTTGAAATTATTTAGTGAGAAGACTTTAAAGATGAAAAAATAATGTTAGCGTCTTTTTGTTTTATATTTATTAAAATATTTTCGTATTCGCAACAGTTCAATAGTGTTAAATAGTTGCAGACAGATTCTACTGATTCCTTCTAGGCTAAGAATTTTGACATTGTAGTAATGAAATTTTGCTACATAAGAAAATGCCTGTACCAAGTCAGGAATATGACAGTTGTTATTGATTCGTTTGATGTGTTTGCGCTTTTGATTTTGCCATTTGATTATGAACTTTCCGTTCTGAATTTTCCTTGGACTTCGGTATTTTTGTGATTTTACTTTTTGCTATGAAGGGATAAATGACAATATTCATTACCCTATCATATATCTAAGAGTACGCGACGTTAAGAGATATTGATAATGTTATTTACATTTTAGAGGTTACGCGATAATGGGTAAACGGTAAAATGTTTTTAAACACAGCACATTTAGTTGATTTATTTGTTGTACCACGAAAGCAGAAATGAATGATCCTAAAAATACACGACCATTTTTAAATAGACGTGAAACATTTAACAAATCAATCAGTTTCGTGTTTATAGTCTAATAATTAAGAACAAGTCTTATGCATTTATATATTAGCGGAAATGCATAGAAGTATTAACAAGTCTCTAGTTTAGAATGAAATTCAAGCATAGTATTTCACTCTTCATTATACGAATCTTATTATATATCGATGACTCTGCTAAATATTGAAAAAAGAAATGTCAGATTTAATAAAGCTTATCGCTTTGTCTGTTATTTGCTGCGAACACCAACGGAGGATAATATCTTGGGGATTTTTCCTTTTTACTCTAACTTTTCCTATTCTGTTGTATTTGTTACTTTTTGCGAAAGGACAGAGGGTAAGTTCAGAATGATTTGATTTCAGAGTGTGTTTAAATATGTTAAAGTATCGTCGTCTGTGAATTCTTTGCTGCGACGATCACATCAATCTGAAAGAGACATTTATACATTAGTGTTATATACCATATTATACCAAAACATCTTTGTGTATACGAGTAACTTTATTATTCGAAAGTCAGAAGACCAGAATACTCTGGATTCATTTATTTTCGTGGGCACCAATTTTCGTTGATTGAGGAAAAATTGTATGTGCTTTTAAATTTTGGTTTTCCCAAAATATGCATACAAGCCTATAGAAAAATTGTTTTTCGTTGAACATTTAAATTCGTGGTTCACCTTTACCCAAGAAATCCACGAAAATTGATATCCCACGAATAATAATGAATCAACAGTAGGTGATTTGCTTACAAGCTGGGATTTAATAAAAAAAAAGTGATAAGGAAGGTAAAGAAATAAATACAAGTAGTTACTATTTTTGGACTAAAATCTTATAACACCCAGCGATCGCGATCTATAACAAGAAAATCGAACAGATAATCGCTCACAGTGAAAAATGGATACAATACAATGTCTAGCATGTCTTGCGAATAAAACACATGTTTCTATAAAGTTCTAAGAAAACGGATAAACAAGCTACCCATTCATTACCATAGAAGAAAAACACCATAAAAGGAATACATTATATGGAAAGTTGCACGTAAAGTTGACGAGACAAGATTTGATTGAAAACGTTTGTGAAATAACAACATGACTTGTACAAGTTTTCCCAATTCATATACTATTAAAAAAATATAACCTTGAGTATCTACTCGCTTTCATAGTCAAACCATAAAACTTCAAATGACCATATTTAATTTCCCAATATCTAAGCTAAGAACTTTACATATACTTACGGCTTTTCACATATGTACCTAAAACGGTTGGAACATCCAGCATCATTCCATTGGTAGTCAAGATCTCTATGAATATTCAAACAATGCTCGTTATCATCCTCATTGTTTGGGTCATATGAAGTACGTCTATGCCAATAAGTAACGGTGATCTTCTGTCCACTAATTGCCCAGACCCAAACACCTTCTTCAGACTCATCTGATCCATCAAGCCAGAAATCTGACAAATATATATATAGAGAGAATTGTTAATAATAGCCAAAAGAAATATTAAATAAAAGAGAAATGGGGCCTTTTATTTTTCAATCTAAAGAGCCATAAAACCTCATTGGACTAGCTTAATGAACGACTGCCAATCTTATTCTTAATAACTGACTTTTCACCTTTGAATTATATAATAAAATGTATGGGTCATGGGGCTTCTTTTAAAGCTACATGTTGGGCAAAACCGTCAGATTTTGTATAGATTATGCATGGAAAATCCAATTTTGTTTGATAAAAAAGAAAACTAAACTACAGACTTTCAAGATAGAATATGAGAAGGTAGCTCTTATAATCTGCCTTTAGAAAATAAATAGAAAAATTTGGAGTCACTGTACTCGTTTTCTTGCTACAAAACAAGACAGGTAAATTCATAATACAGTCTTTTACAAAAGTAACATTATGTGAGTTATCTCCCCTTATATGGCAAAGTTGGGGAAAAAATTTGAATCAAACAAAAATATTCTGTATTTGTAAGAAACAGTTGTAAAAATATGATAAAACACATACTTTTCATTTAGCTGAAAAATTTTACAAATGAATAACATTCTTCTCTCGAGATTTGCCCATTTCATGAAAGATCTATACCGATTATGTTCTGCTATTTAACAATCCAAGATGATGGAAGACACCCGCTTTACCCCAATAAAAAAGATAATTTTTTGGAGACAGACACGTACTTTTTCCATACTTTTCCGCATTTGTCTGAAGAAATTTAATCTCACTAATTGGTGTTGCGTCTGCAAGCCTACTATTTTGTTCTAAACACTTTCTCTGAAAGAAAAAAAGGATATATGTATAATGAAAAAAGTCTTAAAATAAGGTAAATTATCAATCCACTAGTAAATTAGTCTTAGTCTTAAACAGCCACGGTAAAGGTCAGATTATATTAAACAGTACTTCGTTTTGTGTAAAATTAAGGTTTCTATAAAAATATATCAGTCAACAGCACCTGGGTAAGATATTGTTTTATGGATTTGCTTGCAAACTTTTGGCAGCTGAAGTTTTTTATAAAAATAAATGCATAGCAGATAAAACACGTCGATTGTTTACTTTGTTTTTATTATTAGGTTTTTAAGGGACTTTTTGGAAGGTGGTGTTTTTGGAATATCTTAAGTAGCTTTTGTTGGATTTATTCGCACCGTGTGTCAATAAATTGGTTCGACGGAGGTAACAGAATATGAGCACCTGAACTTATCACGTTCAGTAAGGGACTTATTAACATATGCATTATGCATGCAAATTTGTCTGCCATAGTTTTAACACACAAGTTCCCGCAAAATAGTGCATCACAAATTAAAACATTTTACGTCATAATTAAAAAAAAATGATTGTTGAATGACGTCAGAAGATTAATCAGAGGCATATTTAGGGTCATTCCGAGATAATACTGCTTAATACCCAAAAAGGTTAAAAACGTCTATAAGACCCGTACTGAGTAAACGTCCCTTATGTTCGATGTATAAGTGTTCGGTTGCTTCTTTTTTGGAATTTGGATGTTAAATCCGATGACCTGGTAAAAGAATCCTTGCAAAATTACTTTGAAGAATCCGTTGGTAGCATATTACAAGGCAAATGTCTTTCCCTGAGCTACATTCCATTTATTGCAAGTATAAGTCATTAATGTGTGTCGAGCCCAATTAGTTTCCCCTTGAGTATGTACTCATTGTTGCTCTTATATTGTAGATGCATATCAAAATTACCGATTGATTATTTGGAAACACAAATCACCCAGCCAATTAGAAAACATGGCAGTTCAGTGATAAATGTTTGAATTATGTATTTGATCTTTGATGATGTTGTGTATTTTGAACATCGTATTACACACAAAAACGTCATTCATTAATAAAAAATATCGTTGCCATTTTTTAAACTTTATGGAAGACATATCCAAAAGTGTCAGGCAATGGGATGAAGATCACTTTTAAGTATCATTAATCATTAAAATATAAAAACAGAAGCACGTTAAATACGTTAATTTTTAGCATAAAAACATATGTTGTTTTGTGTATATCAGATTTGTCTTAATTGAAATTAAAATACAATTATGTTATGAAAATTTCAAGTAAAATATTGTTTTTTATTTTGGTGTTCTGCATTACATGTTCATCGGACAGCTTGCAAACGTTGTCCTTTGTGTTTGTTGATTTTCTAAAGAATTTGTGACATATGATGTTGTGTGTTATATTTCTGTTTTATAAAACTATAAGGCAATATCTAAATTTAAAACACAGCTCATTTCAAGACTTCTAATTAGAATTAAAAAAAGATTATTCAATAAATATCCATAAGTATTTTGTATGCAATTTAGCAATTACATAGATGAATAAGTATATTTTCAAGTAGCATTTATAAAATTCATGTAGATATTTCACTGTGGCATTACAAATATAAAAATGTAAACATTGTTTTTACTGCCGGATTAAACCGATTTATTTCAAGTTGTTATGTGTCACATATTGTATGTTACTGCATAATGTTTTATTTTGGAGCAATTTGATTTCAACAAAAGATCATATAATTGAAAGTTTTGAAAATATAATCCAATCAAAATGAGTCGAAAATCTTTTTAAATAATATTTCTTGTTTATTTTTCTTTATTGAGAGTTTTCACAAAACGAGTTTGACTCTGTTTTGATGCCACTCCCTGTGTTTTAGACTTTTTTTTTTCAATCGCAAACTAGTAACAGGCCATGATGAATCGAGGGAAAAAATGCATATTTACAAAGACATTTCTTTTAATTTAGGTGTTTATCTTTTAATGGAATCAACCCTTTAGAAAGAATCGACTAAGCTTTTAATCATCTCAAGCATCGTTGTTGTATTTGCTAAACGTTTGCTTTCATTTATGCTATCATTACACGAGGGATCATCTTCCCAAAAAAACGGGCCAGAACAGCAAATATGATTTTAGAATCGCCGATGGCTAATACAAACTTTACATTTTTTTATGCTGTACACAAATTTCCTTTAACTTTCAGGTCATACAGCTTCTCACGTACTCACGTACTTATTCATCCTCGGCTTTCAATATTTAGGTTTTAGCGTTCTTGGTGAAGGTTATTCAAGACGATCAATTAAAAAGCACGGAATTTATAAGGTATCATTTTTATTTACAATGGGCATTGTATTATTCTAAGATTGATTGGTTATATACCTTATTTGAAACAAAGCTAATTAAATCTTCTTCGACATTTTTAATGAAAGATCTATGTGTTTTGGGAATAACGTTACCATTATTACAGTCTTGGATGGCATTTCATTGTAAAAGTTATGCACTTTGAGCTTGCTTTAAGACACCGAGCCCTCTCTAAAATATATGTCTTTACGTCTTTTTTTAAATGTGGGAATATTGTTTAGAATCACTATAAAACATCCATTTTAGACACTAAAACATCCTTCCTAGCTATAAAACCAGGTTTAATCCACCATTTTCTACATAAGGAAATACCTGTACCAAGTCAGGAATAGAACAGTTGTTTTCCATTCGTTTGATGTGTTTGAGCTTTTGCCATTTGATAAGGGATATTCCGTTTCGAATTTTCCTTGGAGCTCGGTATTTTTGTTATTTTACTTTGTAGACCGATTTCACTTTTGTCTTTTCGGAGTTAAATATAATAAATAAGGAGTTGTGGTACGACTGCCAAATGAGGCAACTATTCAACAGAGAGGTGGATTTAAACAATGATAAGTCACCACACGGCCTTCAACAATGAGCAAAACCCATGTCGTATATTCAGCTATAAAAAGGCCCGATTTGACACAATTTCAAACAATTCAAAGAACAAACCAACGGCAAAACAATACACGAAAAACAGATATAACCGACAGCAGCCAACGTCAACCACTAAAATTCAGTTTCCATACTTTGGACAGTCACATACATAATGTGGCGGGGTTAAACATGTTTGTGAGCACACAACCCCCGATCTAACCAGGGACACTGGTGAAACAGTATTTGCAGTTACTAAACGCTAGTTCAAAGTACAAAAAATCAAGTTCTTTTAAATCCAACAGATTAAGTGTAAAACCGTCAAAAACAGTCTGAGAAAGAATGAACTTGTGAAATGTCAAAATTTCGAATACATAATATCGATTGGATAAATGACCATAACTTTTCATAGATGATTTCTAATTTGTCAAAAATAAAATTAATGTTAGTAGCGATAAAACAATCTTTAATGAGTTTACTACGACGTCAAATTGATATCCTTTAAGAATATGTGTTTCGAAGGATCAATACGTTTACATGGATCGTATTTAAATTTATGGGCGTAATAAACAACATTACCATAAAATATTGGATGTGATAACCCATTTTTTTAAAAGAAACCTACAAACTTCAAAATACAATCTGTGTATCTATGAAATAATTTAGTACAAATTTTAGGTAATTTGTGGTAACGAAATCAAAGACTAATAAGTTACCAGTTATACATAGATCACGTTTATTGCAATTAAAACTAAAATTGATATCCATTAATAAAGCGGAAAATGAAAGAATATTTTGTTTCATCTTCATTTTATATTTGTTTACACTTTTGTGTGATGCCTTTGTAAAACATTGTTGCTAGGGGCGCCCAAAATGGCAATAAAGAATTTGTTTGAATGTTTGTCTGTTTGCTTATCGCTGAACATCTATGATGACAACGAGATGTTTATTTTCCAGAAGTGGATATCTTATAGCTTAGTCATTGGCATTGTCCATTCAATATTTCTTACCAAAAAAACCCATGGCAGCCAACAACCTTAAGTAGCATTATCGCTTAAAGAAGAAGTTATGAATGCAGATGTGTACTAAACCTTCAGGACTTTGTTTCCCATGAAAATGTGAAAATTATGGATTAAAAATTGTTGCTTGTAAATAATCAATGTAAATGAATGTTTACTACCTTGGCATCAAACCAAGTTGCAGAGGTAGTACTGAAGTAGTAACAGTTGTTTGCATCCCTTTTCCAACCATCTTTACATGACATTTGTACTGTAAAATACACTTCATTAACAATAAAAAAATGATACACGTGCATAAAGCATATTTGTGTTCACAAGATCGGACAAAAATGTAATGATTTTTTTGGAGACCTTCATAAAAACTTATCAACAGGAATAACAGTATTTTAACGTTACAGGATGTTTTTGAAATCAAGATGACGGATATCGGTAATGAAGTAGGAAACTTCCAGAGCAACACAATTTGGTTTGTGGTACTAAATATTACTTTTTTTGTGTTCTGTAGGTCTATGTTTTCTGTTCGTCCTTACTTTTTGTCCTTGTTCATGAGTTAATTGTCCTTCTCGATTATGCTTTTTATTAGCTACATAGTATTTGTTGTCATTTTGAGGTTTAACTTAAGAACAAAAAAACACCGGATATTCTCGAAATTTAACAAGCACATAACTTTTCAGTGGTACTCTTTAACAGACGCTTATATCTGTCTTTATATTTCGCCGATAGGGTATGACATTTATGTAATGATCAATTTATGAAATTGTCGGGAAATTCACGAGGCATTTTTTAACATGCGTATTTGTCACTTATCACTTTTACCTTGTTCTTCATATAATATAAAGTATGACCTTTTGCTATGAATAATTTGCAACATTGTGTGATTTGACTAAATTGTCTGTAATCGGACGTTTTTTTTTTCTTAAATCTCAGATAATTTTTAATCAATATGAAATTTCTTAATGAATATATGTTCAATGGTAGAATATTTCAAACGTTAAAAACCTTGACACATGTATCCAATATATTCAGGCAGACAGGAACAATTATAACTGCTTCCGGTCGTTGTGCATATTCCACCATTCAAACAAGGTGAACTGCTGCATGAAGTGTCTAAAACATGATAGTGAAGACATAATGTCAAAACATAAGTAGTTGTTGCGAACTGTCTTAACTGTAATTTGCGATTGAAGTTTTAGAGCTGGAACTAGTGGTGTTCATTTCTATATGATTAACGTAAATGAATGTTTACTACCCTCAGGTTAACCTACATTTTGTAGAGACTGGTGACGTAGTTACAGTTGCATTAACAATGCGTAAAGCATCCTTAAACCATAGTGAAAATAGTGAAATTTGAACTGTAAAATGATCTTCATAAACCACATCAAAACATGCACGGGCAGTGATGAAAAGATATAAGACAAATGTCTTTTCACAAAACGAAGTAATTTTGAAACGTATTATCCCTAGATAAATACCTAGGGAAAACGGTTAACTGTGTATAACGTTAACGAATTTAAAACAAAATTGGCAAAAACACTGGCGTCACTTGCGAAGTATAAACTGTCGATTAATCCCGTTCAGGCCCTGTCTTGAGGGGTATATGTTACTAAATTTTCGTTTTCTGCAAAGTGTTTTTCTTTTTCGAGTTATTTGTCTCTCTGGGTCCTTTTTCATTTGAATATTGTTGTAAACAGAAATATCAATTTTACAAATACCTTATTTTCACCATTATATTCGCAACTACTTTCAAAATCTAATATACATATGTTATTCCACAAATTCAGACAACTCAAAAATAAAGTTTACAGCCTTAATACCTGAATTGAATTATAGAATAAGATAAAGAATCTGTATTTTTGTGCGTTAATTCTTACGTGCAACGTGAACACTGGGTATCACAAATCATAAGCCCGGAATTTTTGATGAGATATCATCAACACTGGAAAGTGGGTACCATTGTGGCCCAGTGTCGGAACAGTAAAGTAAGGTAGCAACACACAGTTAGGAGTGTAGTTTCTCATTTCGGCCATTTAGGATTTTTCAAATATGAAAGTTATTGTGCAATCAAATTCATTTTTAGACAGCTGATGACTAATTTAGCCGTCAAAGTGGGTTGATAAGAACATCAAGATTATTTTGACATGTTTTATGGGTTGTTTTCTGTTTGACTGTCCATATTTTTATAGCCAGACCGGCCATAGGTCCATAAATTATTGTAATGTTTACAAACACTTTTTTCACACGAACTTCTAGACGCAATTTTACAAAAAAAATGAGACGAATGACATATGACTTTTATTTGATCTGTTGATTGATAATGTAAACAGTTTCAGAAAAGGTATCACTCCAAGGGATTGAAACTCTACTTTTGGCCAAATTCTGTGGAAATATGTGACATCTTTACGCCCCTTTTTGCAATATTTTATAGCAATAAAAAACAGATTGTTGACATGGATACACCTAAAAGAAATTTTATTTAACCATTTTAACTACTGGAAATCAAATCTTTGGAAGGTACTGATTACATACATATGCACATATATGACACAAACAGTAGGCTTAATTTGTAAGAAAGCAAGGAAAAGGGGATGATAAAATTTATCAGGGTAACATTTTTTTCCTAACTGTATATTGCTAACTAAACAATGTTGGATTTTCTATCACTCAAATCATTTTTGCTGATTAACTACTATATGTTCAATTATTTCCCATGCATGCTATTTTAATTTTTCTTGCTGATCAGTACTATACCACCGACGAAGGTCAAATTTTTGGACAAGCACATATGTATTTTAAATGCTTATAGATAAGTGCTTAGAATTGCTTTGCAAAAACATTCCAACCAGCTTACAAAAATTTAAAAAACGGATCCAAAAAATTCAATACTAAAAATTGCCATTTCGAAAAATAATTTCTCTATTTGAATTTTAAATGCATAAATATTTCATGTATTTCATACTAGGGCAAAATGTGTGTCCTTGGTTGAAAGAACCACATATTTCAAGAGACATTAAAACGTATGTCCCTGAAATATCATATTAAATTTTAATATAAACTAGAGGTTTTTAGTTCACAAAAAAATACACCCACCTATGCCAAGCTCTGAATTTCGATAAAAAAAACATGAACTATACGATATAAAGATATAAAAGTGCCATTATATGATTAAGGTATGTGAAAGTTTCAATACATTCTAAAAGTGGGTTTAGGAGGAGTTGGGGAACCGGTGTTTTCGTAGATAAAGCAATACTAGAGACCAAAACATGTTTTGAGAGAAAACAAAAACTAAATCAGGTTAGAAAAAACCCAGAATACTTTAAATAATTCTAATGTGTTGTTGAAAATACAAAGTTAGTACGACCAGATAAACAATGACTAAGTCCTTGATTTGTATAGGGAAACCCCCCAAAAAGTTCAGATCAAAATCAGAATAAAAGATATAAATTATTCCAATGCAAATTAAATTCTATTTTGTGTAGTTCCTTCCGAAAATATGTAAATCATACATTTTAGAAATTGAAAAAAATGCTCAGAATCTTTTGTTTTTATGTGCAATCTCAAGTACAATTTTGCATTTATAAGAGTAAAAAACTAGTCAGATACACTTTGAACTATTTACATATATATTAAAACTATCAGCGTAGATCTAGAATCCTATAGAAACTGCCATTTCAACCTAACAGCGTTATTCATTAAATTGGTCTGCGTTTTTAAGAAATGTTTTTGTCATCTTTTCATTCTTATAAAACAAAATAATAAGTTTTTTCCGCATATACTTATAACTGATTTTCTTTACAAAACGCAATACAAACCTGAATTAGTACGCCTTTCTGTCAGTGCTGCGTCTTTTGTGAGAATTTGAAAAAAAAGCTTCGATCCTTATCTCTGCTCGACACGAAGCAGACATTGGACAAGTGTTAAAAGCTATTACGAAAAATAATGGTATCCATTACATGAAGTAACAAAAAATCAGTATGCAGCAGGGACGTTTTGCCTCACTGAGTAAATCCTCACGTTGGCCTTTGCATAGGAGGTAAAGATTTGAATTTTTGAAATGCACTTCATCAGAAATACCATGATGTAGTATCATCTGCAATCTATGATTATTTAAAGCACATCATTTCATCATGCTAGCCTACAAATTTATAACATGCATGACGAACATACCTGATTTGTCAATATATTCTGTAATGTTATCCTCAGACCTTCGCCTTTCAAACTCTTCTAACTTGTCGACACCATTCGTCAGTTTTTCTATTGTTTCATTAAATGAAGACCAAAGGTGATCAATATCCGTGTTAGTAACATTCAATGCTCGTTGATGCTTGTTAGTGTTTTCGTGAACACGTTGATTTCGCATGAAAATTGCCGCCTTTTGTTTTCAAGTTCATTTTTTAGATACTGATTTTCTCTTTTAAGTAATAAAATTTCGTTTTCGTTACTAAATACCATTTTAAGAAGCTCATGCATATCGTCTTTCAAACCATTAATGTCTGATTGTATGAATGTGATTCCCGTCTCCGTTTTGTCCGCCTCCACAGAACTTTGTGTACTAGGACCAAACACATTACCGTTGCAGATACATAACAAAAAAGATAATATCACTACTACCTTAAATTCCATTTCAAAAACATCTGCTTGTAAACGATTATTCTAAATTTCACATACACGTAGAAGATAAAATTGTCTGTTTCAAAATGAACCGGAGATAGGTTTATGACTTGAAAGGAGGATAAATAGTATATTGCACTCAAGACATTGAATATTATAAGTATTTCTGATCGTATCTTGTGCAGACACATAATAGAAGTGTCTAACATGATGCATGAATCTAACCTCTCACCATCCTCTTATAATCAGATTATGATTAAGTTGAAATTACATAACAACTATTGTAAGACATCTCCATTGTTTAAGAGCGTCCTTGAAACTTTCGCACGTACTGAGAACACTTAAAATTATTATCAAAGTTATGTTGATGATAAAACCAATATATTGAAATGGTTTTGTTTCTGCAAATAGCTTTATAAAAGTAAAATATAGATTTCTGATTACCATGGTTACACTACATCCAGTAGAAGTTTGTAAGATGCTATAATTACGAACAATATACCATTTTATTTTATTATTTGTAAATTTAATGGATTATAATTAGTAAACTGTAAAACGTACCTTTTCGAATTATCTGAGATCACCCCTTGTTTTTGTTTTGGTTGGTGTTGCTCAGTCTTTAGTTTTCTGTGTTGTGATTTGTATACTGTTATAGAAAAACAAAGGATATGGGATGTTCATCTATGACACAAAATCAGTATATGCACAGCAAAAACATACAAAAAGTTAAGAAACAGCGCTTTATTTTGGTAATTTAGGTATCAAATGAAACGTGAAAGACTGGTGATCCTTGAAGAACACCTTTTGACTGATAATTTTGAATAAAACAAAAAAGAATGAATAGATCTTTAAAATGAGGGCATATTACGGAGTATATATCTCCCAATTGATACGATATTCCCGGGCTTGTGTTTCCTATCATGATTTCATTGATAGAGGATTGCTGCTCACAAGGAAGCTATTAAACCAAGAGTTCAAAATGGTGAAGTTGAAGTCATCCCTTCGTAAATTTTACGGACGCCATCACGAGTTGGTTGACCGTTATGGAATAACCGTTTCACAGATGATATCGGATATGTTCCTTATGTCGTAACTACAAAACCCTCCCTTTTCACGAATGTGACTTACCGAATTAGACTATTTACAGGATTTGTAATAACATAAGCAACACGACGGGTGCCAAATGTGGAGCAGGATCTGCTTACCCTTCCGGAGCACCTGAGATCACCCCAAGTTTTTGATGGGGTTCGTGTTGTTTAGTCTTTTGTTTTCTATGTTGTGTCATCTGTACTATTATTTGTCTGTTTGTCTTTTAATTTTGGCCATGGCGTTGTCAGTTTGTTTTCGATCTATGAGTTTGACTGTCCCTCTGGTATCTTTCGTCCCTCTTTTATGACTGTATCTCAGATACGTGACTTGGTATATCCACAATTACGGTAACTCGTACCGTTCGATGTGTATATAACGGTTTATAGAACGCGCCCTCACAAATGATTGAAAATTAAGAAAAATTGACATAGAAGGTGGGGGGAGGGGGGCAAGATTAGGTGGTGTGCCTCTTATTAAAATGTTTGTACACAAGCTGGCCTACAATTGACAGAATGATGTTGCACACACAAGAAGTTATCTCAAGAATAAATACACAATAACTTAGAAAATACAGAAGAGCATACACCACAAGCAAGAGGACACTTTCTACGGCCTCCACACAACACGAGTGACAAACTCCGTTAATTTAATAGAAAAGACAAAGGATATGGGTATACATCCACGACACCAAATCAGTACATGCACAACAAACAACACACAAAAAGCAAAGTAACAGAGAGTTTGTCATTTCATCGTTTTTCGGGTTTTTTTTGGCCTTGGAATTATGAGTTTGATTATCCATTTGAAAAGCATATAAAAAGGCAAATCAAGAATGTGCACTTTGGAATGTATTCATAGCTGATCTAGTTAATATTGAAAAGGAGAGCAGGTACCAAGAGGAAATCAAAACCAGTTAGTGAAAGATAACAGAAAAAAGGAAAACCGACGAAAGGATAAACAAGAGTCCACAAAAACTAAACAGATAATTACGCAAAACGAAGGCCACCAACTGATTATTGAGATAAAACATGTATCAAGAAAAAATCATGATGATTAATAAACCATCAAATTAGGTTAATGTCATGTAACCCTTGTCATAGGGACATCTGCAGCTAACAATAGTTCTAAATCATTAATGAGCTACTCAGTTATTGGACTTTATATGTTAAAAACAACTGCCAGCGCAATAAAAACATGTCAACTAGCCAATACAGAATAACTTGGCCAAATTTATTTGGTCAAAGAAGTCAACGTTGATGTTGAAATGAAGCTATAGAAACAAAAGTTCCTGATTGAATATTCGAAGTCATCCCTCCGAACGCTCTTTTATTGACGTCATTATGATTTGATCGACAGTAATGGAATGTATGTGTCAAAAATGACATCGGATATGACCCACTTATCATAACCACAATACCGTCCGTTTTTGTGATGTGACATTATACCGAATGCGACTGTCAACGTATCACTTCATATTTACTAGATTTTTACTGTAGTGGTGATGTGTTTATAGGTTTGAAAAATGACATTTCCAAATGAACTACTAGTATATGTTTGAATTCAACTTACCGGACATGGCCCATCAACGCATTCGAAAAGGAGTAACAGCACAGGTGTTACTAGTACAGCAGGAACATCTGAAACTTTTGGAGCGTCCGAGTTTTACCCATGCATTGGTGGAGTTTGATCAAGGCTGTTCATTCATGCTTTCATAAGCACATGCAAAAACAGTGAGCTCCCGAGAGCACATGAGTTCTTAACACATATGCAAAAATTATTATTTGGAATCTTTAACAAAATAACTTGTAATTCACTGCCAGTTTGGGAATCCAACATTTTAAATATTTAACGAAAAAGGAGATTTTGGAATATCATAAATATGTCATTCTCAACATATAAAAAAGGATGATAAAAATCTCGCGCATTCACTAGTAGCAAGATTTCAGTCTGAAACGGTCATTTTGTTCTGATCAAGTCTTAATCGACTAGATTTACCGCTAGAGAAAAACGTCAAGACTTTTTTAGACTTTCAGACGCCGTCACGATATACCGTTTTAAATCCGTTCAGTTATGTCAAGATAAACAAGACAGATTGTGCTTGCGTTCGTTTAAGTCTGTTAAGACGGTTTCAGACAAAATCAGACCAAACCTAAAAAAATCCTCTCAAATTTGTCACACCGTGTTTAGATCCGTTCAGTATGCTAGTATGATACTCCGAGTTACGCCCCTTCTGATTGATGGTTCATTTTAAATTGAGAATTATTTGCTAGAATTAAAAGCGTAACTTTCGAATAAATAAATAAAGAAATCATCTGTTGATTATTTATTTCGGTTGTTTTTTTGTTTAGGACTTAAGAAAATATTCGTCTATAAATGTCGTTGGTTTTATTTTTCAAATTAATGTTAGTTTATTTTGATTATTTATTAATTGTATATCGGCAAATAAAAGGTTACCATTATTTGCTGAAACCTGTATTTAAAGATATACATTTTATACATGTATATTTACGATATTTACTAAGGATAATAAAAGTTACCCTCAGAAATTACCGTATTAAAACAGATTTGAAATAGACGGAAATTACGTGCATTTAGGAAATTGTTTTTTTTTTTTGTTTTTTTTTGTTTTTTTTTTTATGCAATCGTTACATCGTTACTTACAAAACATGTATATTATACACTTATTACTAACATGTTGTTAACCCGACAGGTAAAAAATGTAGTCGTTATCCCAAATAAAATGTGTACGGATATTGATTTTTGTCTTTGAAAAAAAGTACTTGCACTGGAAATTTAAATATAACAAGATAAATGTAAGGAGATGTGGTATGATTGTCAATGAGAGAACTATCCGTCATATTTCAACTGTGAACTTTAGCAATTTAATTAGCACATATTTAGTATGTTTTATGTCAGGTGCTACAATTCTTTATCTGTTGATACTTTTCTCGTATTAAAACTGGAAATTTACTTTAGAGCATTTTATGATAGTAAATTTCGTGCGGGTTACTTGGTAAAACTTGGAGAAGTTTCTATTTTCTTATCTTGTATTGTGCAATATATTTCTTAACAATGCTTTACATCACACTGTTGTGCATCTTAACGCTACCAAGGCCGCTTAAGTGCATTGAGCTTCTAAACTGTACTTAGCCAGTGATGAGACAGTATTAAAATTATAAATAAAATACCACCGGATAGAGCTTTTTATTAAAACAATATATTCCTATGTATTATTCAGTACCCATAATATTAATTAATCATTGATTTATATAGTAAAATAAAACGATAACCCACGAGATTCCAATCCTACTTACTATATTAATCCTTGGCGTATAATTTAATACAGTATGTTCTGTTTTAAAGATTGAGAGCAATGGCACGTGCTAGTAATCAACCGGGTCAACACTCGGGTCAACAGGTAATAAACCCAATGATCCATAACGCATGAAAGAAGATTGACAATTACATGACTAATTCCGGAGTAAGCAGTATATTTATATATCTCGTCTTGCTGAAATACATTATTTCTTTTTGTTCATAGTTATGTCCAAAGTTATGTCCTTCGATACAATATTTTACAAACACATGTACAGTTCGGAAGTTTTTTTATATTGTTGAAATAAATTGTTATTTGTTTAGTTATTTATTTATTTTCGTCATTCATTCATTCATTCATTCATTCATTCATTCATTCATTCATTCATTCATTCGTTCATTCATTCATTCATTCATTCATTCATTCATTCATTCGTTCGTTCATTCATTCATTCATTCATTCATTCATTCATTCATTCATTCATTCATTCAATCATTTACTGTATTTCTTTATTGTATTTTATTTCTTTATTGTATTTTATTTCTTTATTGTATTTTATTTCTTCATTTCTTTCTTTCTCTCTTTTCTTTATTTCTTTGTTTATTTATTTTTCATCTTCGCTAGGCAAGAGTTACGATCCAGTCCCCTCCTCTTCACAGGCTAGCGAAGATGGGGGCACTTACTCAACCCCATCAGG